ATCATTAAATTGCTTCAGCTTCTTTGTCTGAATGAAAACATAAAGTACCAACCATTTCTCCTTCAAGCAGTCTCTCTCTCTCTCGAACAAACGAATAATCTTTTCAACAGCCTCCTAAGACTGTAATTTAGACAGGGTAAATTCCTTACACTAACCTTTGACCTCTGTCATTCAGACTTTTAGTTGTCTTCATCTTAAGCCACCACCATGCCTTTGTCCCAAGAGCCTAAAATCTCTGCATTTTTCTTGCAATTAACATCATAAAAATGTTTGTCAATGTCTCCACATCAGATGCATCCACCTGTGGTCTGTATGTTAATGATGTTTGAGACACCCCACTGTCTGATAAGGTTCCCTGTGTCTTACACCGGCCCCATTTCTACAATCGACTACCATTTGTTTAGATTGTGTTGAATTCCAAATGTGTTGAAACAAAATAACTTCACTTCTTTTATCTCAATGATAATTAAGCCATTTTGGAAGATGAGTTCATTCTAAAGTATATTTGGGAGTGGACTCTTGGTTGAAGCAGACTAAACTGTATCACAGTCCTCTGAGTCCCCTCTCTGATGCCCTTTGCCCAAAGTGGCATCACATCCACTCCCTTCGCACAGATTACACCTCCCTTTCCTGGTGGGCAGGTGCCCAGTAGCGGTGAAACCCTGCCTTAGGTTGTCTTCTAGGGCTATCGAAGATCGTACCCGTCGTTGGGATGACACCTCATGCATACTGGTTACAGCTCCATCCAATTAGGCAGAATTATCAAAGAGACTTTTCTCAAATTTGACAGTTATGACTTTTCTCTTGGGTGTTGGTGAGAAGACATTCAAGAATCATCACAGTAGAAGTATCCCAAAACAATAACAACAGTATTAAATCACTTAAATCCATTAACCATCTTAAAAGCAGCAACCTCGCTGCTTAGATTAAACTCAGTGAATTTTGATCACAACTGTGTACATTCAGTGTACTTCATCTGTAGTCTGGGTCATCGGTTCTGCTTCATGGTGCGTATTAAGATCTAGACAAAAATATAACTGGTTCAAGAATAACCTAGTTAAGATTTTCACTTAAACTTCTTTCGTTTAGGATCTGTATTATTATTTTAAAGACTTCTTTAAAGTCATTAAATTTTACTTCTAAAACATTTACAAATAAAAATTGCCCTCTTTTTGGCAATGAATTATTCTGACATTCCTGGGTCTATGATTTTCAACTGAAAACACTGTATTTTACCATAAATAGCTTATTATCAATTATAACATGCTCATAACAGCTTCTAGCTGACATTAAAAGAGAGACAGAAAGACTCTTGAGTTATTCAGAACTGGTACTTCCCGCTTCTCTCAAACTCAGAATTTTATCTGCAGCCCAGCTTAAAGTATCTTTTTGCAAAATTACTTTTATTTTTAAAAAAGCCCAATTTTATAAGAGAATTTAGACATTACAAATTTCTACTTGAGTTTCTCGTGCTGGTCACTCTCGTGCGCCCCAACACGCATCATATTCAGATAAGCAAATTGTTTCAGCCAAATCACAAGTTTTATCTTCTAAAATCAAAACATCAGCTTCTCTTTCTTTCTAGTTCAACACTACCAAGCTTTTTACACATTTTACATTTATCAACTGTTAAACCTGTAACATGGCTTGCTTAGCCTGTTTTATCTTTTATAAAAATAGTAATGCTTCAAATATCATCTAAATTTTAGTTATCAGGTTCTTAATAGCCAAAGTTTAATATCTGACTTCTATGTTTTCTTTTCTAGGAGTTTACCAATCTGCAACTAGCAATACTTTTTTTTAAAGTATTTTGCAATTCATTTTCTTATGTCTAATTTTACAACGACCAGTACTCTTTGTATAGTTCTTTCCTTCAAAATAAATGCATTAAGTCTTCAATCTCATGACCTTATTTTTATCTCCTGTTCTTTCTCAGACGAAAATGTTAATATCGTCACTTAAACAGTGATCTATATTCAAACGCACATAAACACCGGAAATTTCTGTCATCTTATCACAAAAATTCCTTCTCATCTTGCATCCACAGCTACTTGTTAAATGGCCCTGCTTATAATTTTGTCATCACAAGAATCTGACCATTGTTTTCGTCACTGTTATCTTGCAAAACTTCAATTTACTGTGCACCCCCGAAGCAGTCTGTCCCCATCAGGAATGTAACACAGAGCTGATTAAATGGTAAATGGCACATAAATGCTCAAAATACGTTTAGTTGTTTTTCAAAGTTTTCGTTTAACTTTAGTCATACTTATCCAGGGAAATGATTCCCTGATCCAAAATTCCTTCATAACACAGACTGTCTTTAATTTGTCATTATCATCAACAACACTTATTTCAATAAAAACCCATCATCTAGCATCCAGAAACCAGGCTAAATAAGCAAGAATTTGCTGTATTACTTAGTCCCTCCTCAGTTATTAGGAAAATACATATAGTTTTTTCTACTATATTTCTTCTTAATCTTTCTCTACATGCCAGTTCCTTCTGTATCCTCTCCTTTCTTTCTCTACATGCCAGTTCCTTCATTATTTAACCAGTACACGATTGTTTGCATACAATCCCCAAACACATTTCTCACATGCAGTTCCATCTATTTCACACAGGCAGCCTTGGTGCTTGCTACTTCAATCCTTATCATGTAAATCTAAATTCTCTAGAAATCTAATGTCATGCATCCATTTACTGGATGAAGAAGTAAAAACTTTATTTCTCCTGACAGTTCGACTTTTATCTTCCTATTCGTTGAACTAAGCCATAACAACCCTTTTTTGTTTCTCACTGCCCTGTTCAACTGACTCCCGCACTACTTTTAATCTCGTAGCGCTCAATGTTCCCTCATTCACAACATCTCAAACCAAGTTTCTTCAATCATTCATCGGAAAACACTGCTCAAATTTCATCATTCACAACATAGCTCAAAACATACACACAAAGAAAACTGTAAAAAATTATCTTGTCTAGGCCTACTATAAGATGATCCCATGTTGGCTGAATCTTCTCTCTTGGATTTTTACTTTCGACGCGTCTTAATCTGTCAAACGTCTTCAACAGACCCGGTTCTGTCACCTCGATCCGGCAAGGTTCAGCAAATATGCTCTGTAATTATGGTTCTACTCAAGGTTCAATTCAATAATGATAGCAGTTTTCAAAATTCATAAAATTGGTCCGACTTCCTCAGGTGCCAATTAAAGATTTGTTATGTGCCAATTTTTACAATTTCATAAAATTGGTCCGACTTCCTCAGGTGCCAATTAAAGATTTGTTATGTGCCAATTTTTACAGTTTCATAAAATTGGTCCGACTTCCTCAGGTGCCAATTAAAGATTTGTAATGTGTCAATTTTTACAATTTTATAAAATTGGTCCGACTTCCTCAGGTGCCAATTTTTAACCAATAATCAGCCTGAGCGGATCCTTTATCCGCCCCACGAGCTAGTTTTCGGCATAAAATTGGCTTGTAGTGACGGGTTGTTCGTGCTGATTCACGTGTTACAATTACCGAGTAATAAAAGTTAGTAACAAATTTTTCCGATTGCATGAAATTGATCCGACTTCCTCAGGTGTCAATATCAGTTTTCGGCATAAAAATTGGTCCGACTTCCTCAGGTGCCAATTAAAATTTTTGTTACGTGTTCTAAAAAAAAAAAAAAACCTGCTCTTTTCAGTGAGTCGATTCAAATGAGCCAGCTCAAGGAAAAGAGTCGGAATGCCCGTCACCACCTCAATTCACCCCTCGAAAACTTTCCCTGCCCGTACCAAAGAGATAGTTCAGCCACTATGGTTCACCTAATAGTTATATCAAATTACACCATGCGAAATACAAAACAAATAAAATAAATTTTAGGTCTCTTACCAAGATGCTTTACTGCCACCGGATTCTTTCAGATCTCAGGCGAGTCCCTCCTGGCCCTGAAAAAACGGGATTTGGCTCTCTCTCTCGTAATCTGTTGAGTTCTCTCTCAAACCGCCGAGGTATGAGACCAGTAGCCTGGTACTGGGGCGATTCACTCCGTCAAATCCGTCTCAGGACCAGAAAGAACTGCCGTGAGATCCTCACTTCTGACACCAAAACTGTTGTGGCAAAAACAGTTTAACAAACAAACAGCATCATAGTAAGAGACATTAGATTCAAATTGTACTTCAAAAGATGTTTATTCTTTTGAAGGAGGCTTGTTCACAAAAAATACCGCGACAGCTACCTCGCGATAGGAACACAGACCTAAATGACATATAGAACAGACAGCTTTTATACACCTTTCCCCCCGCCCCATGGTGTTTTACTGCCCTTACTCCTGTGAGAGCAAAAGTCAATGACCTGCCCCTCGCCCCATGATGTTTTTACTGCCCTTACTCCTGTGAGATCAAAAGTTGATGAGATCAAAAGGCTTTATAATGCGGTGGTTCCCTTGTCTATAAACAAAAGCCTTTAGCATATCTTTGGCTGTGTGTGTGAGAGAGTTCCTGCTATGTAAATACAGTGTAAAAGGGGAGAAACACGTTTTAACTGAAAGAAAAGACAAAGAAACAAAGAAAAGAATATTAAAAACATTGAAAATTTCTATAACACTGATAGACAACAACGGTTGTTTCAAAATTGAAAATACTGTTGAAACAAAGACACCTACATCTTGGATGCCCTTGAGGTAACCTAAAACATATCAAAAATGTATTTCAAAGTGAACTATCCCTTTAACATGTAAATAATCTTAGTACTCTGCTATATATTAAAATTTTTTCTAACTGCCTCATTTTCATCCACATAAAACAAGCCTTAAAAACAGAGTATGGGGAATAAACTAAGTGCCTGATGAAGCATTTCAGTCTTTTCTCTTTCTGTCTTCAGTCTGTGGAGTTGCAGTATTACAGAGGAACAGAGTCTCATCCTGACTTCAGCTCTGAAATCAAACCCATCACACCTGAGAGAGCTGGGCCTGAGCTGGAATAAACTAGGAGACTCAGGAGTGAAGAACCTCAGTGATCTACTGATGAACCCACAGTGCAAGCTGGAGAAACTACAGTTAGTAACATTATACTGTACAGCAGTTACTGTGATATTACAGTTTTAAGTTTATTTTAAGACAACAGGACTCAAGTAATAGTGTTTATAGCTCGGCACCTTCTGTTACTCTTTATTTTAAATGTCTTTTAACTAGTAAACTTAAGTAAAACTTAATAAACTAAGTGCCTGATGAAGCATTTCAGTCTTTTCTCTTTCTGTCTTCAGTCTGTATGAATGCAGTATTACAGAGGAACAGAGTCTCTTCCTGACTTCAGCTCTGAAATCAAACCCATCACACCTGAGACATCTGTACCTGAGCTGTAATAAACTAGGAGACTCAGGAGTGAAGCACTTATGTGATGTACTAAAGGATTCACACTGTAAACTGGAGAGATTGAGGTGAGTAACATTCACACACAACAGTGGTTCTCAAACTTCTCTTATGGACATAAACCACATTTTGGATTTCATATTTTGTTTAATATTAATATTCCTGTAGTTCAGAATCTAATGCTTATGAGACCCACATCTGTTATTCGACTCTTTCCTTTTGCAGATATGTGGAATCTAATAACACTCACACTCACAAACACACATGCACACACACACAGAGACACACACACTACAATAGTAATATTTCAAATTTTGAAAGCCAAATAAATAAATTTATACATCTGTAGCAATTTCGTCTATTTCTAAACTCTTCCCATCTGTTTAGAAGTGCTCGAAGTGCTCTGTCTAGTTTAGAGATCAACAGGTGGTCATACTAAAAGAATCAACATTTTTAAAGCTACACTATGCAGTTTTTTTATTATTAATTTACAAAATAACCCTTAAAAACTTTGATAAACCTGTAATATTGAACTGTATGTTAGAGATGTTTGTGTGGATTTCATTGTAAATTACCTGCATCATACACACTTACACATAGAAAAGTAACTCCAGTAGTTATTTTTAAAGGGAACCCCGACTAGTGAGGCATGTTGGCCTTATAAGATTAACGTGGGCGTCAGATATAAAAAGGTGATACAAAAACACTCCAAATGTTTTTGATTTTATAAAAAAAAAGCAGAAAATCCATTCACTGGTAGGCCGCCATAGTTACAGTATTTACGTCTCAATGCATTCTGGGTAGTGACGTGTAATGGTTGCAGTCGGTTGAGCCTAGCCGCTGTAGCTGCTTCGTTTATTGTTTTTTCCAATGTACCGGCTAGCTAGATGAGTTTTGACAGTAGTGAGATGAACACGTCTGCCGTTCAGCCATCTCAGTTTGAACCCGAGCGCACCGTAGGCTAAATCAAGAGAATAACGCAGTGTCTGTGCGGCAACTGCATGCTAGTGCCAAGCGAGAACGACCGCGTTTGCTGTGAAGAGATCAGTATTCAGTAACGTTATAGTCTTAGATTTAAGATTTTAATATATAGTGCAAGGCAATTCGGTGCAATGGTAATTATAAATATTGTAACTTAATTGTAAGATCGAAAATGTACATGAGGTAGATGAGTAGAATAGTGTTGACTTTGTAAAGGGGGTTTTGCACACCGGGTTCGGACGAGAAGCGCTGCGCCGCTTCCATGACATCTCGAGGTATTACCAGACACGCACTTTGTCAGTTTATGGCCAGCAATATTGTTCTGTCAGGTCCATTAAGTCAAGAACACACAGACAAAAAAAATGTTTAATAAATTTTTTTTTATTTAGAAATTATTAAATGGATTGCAATAGTAGATGTTACTGAATTGAAATTTGGTGGTATGGCTCTGTTCAGGGAGTCCTCTGACCTTTCATGAGCACCATGAAATAGCAGGGAGTCAGAGGACAGCAGCAGCATTAGGGAACGCTCACACAGTTTAGGACTGTGAGAACTAAAATATCCCCCCAAACAAAACCACACCTGGCAATCCTCTGTGATACAGAGGATGATTAATTGACTAGACAAGCTATTCCCCAAAAAATAAATAAATAAATAAATAAAAACAGTGTCTCGATCGGTGTCGTCTGAGCTACAATTAGAATGTATTAATTATTGGAATGACGTCAGACCGCAAACTTAAACATGTTGTTACATAGATTAGGCTATCAGTTTTGAACTACTTGACGGACTACGGTGTCTGAAGATATCCACATCCGAGACGAACTAGATGAAAAATTAACTGGTCGCGCATTCAGGGACATTAATGAAGAGAGTGCTATAGCAAAATAATGATTATAATATTTATTTAGCGAAACAAATCAGAGAATTGAACTCATGGCTTTCTGAGCTTTAAGAATAGCCCGAACATCAGGACGGAGGTATCTTTCGTAAGCAGCAGAAGACCACCGTCCCATGGCTTTAAGGGTTGAAACCGGAGCGGATGCTGTTGTTGCTGCGCCGATGCGCAGAGAATGAGCCGTATAGCGGTCCGGGGGCAGTCCACAGAATTGGCAAAGGAGGCAAATTTTTTATAAATGCTCTATGACAATTGTTAAAAAATGTTCAATCAAATCATCCCGTCTTTTTTTATTTTTTTATTATTTTAGGTCGACTAGCCTAATCGTTGGGCAGGACACGACTTTGGTCGACTAAGGATTTCTTTGGTTGATTACAGCCCTAATTGCTGCACAAGGTGAAGTCAGTAAATACATAATAACGATTTGAGACAAATAATTTAAATTTAATATAAAACTATGTAACCTAATGGTGCTCTGTGGCGCGGCAGGATTTTGAACAAGGTTCGAGAGCAGCTATTTCTATATGCGTTCAACATAGTGAGTGACTGCTTAGGGAATCACACGACGGCGGTAGATGACTTATTAAATTATTTATACTCATAGTACGATCGTCTGATCTATACAGCCTACCCTGGACAGCTGCTGACAAAAAGTGGATCTCTTTAAGTCAAGTCAAGTCAAGTCACATTTATTTATATAGCGCTTTTCACAATACAGATTGTATCAAAGCAGCTTCACAGTGATAACATGAAAGTAGCACAACACAGATCAACAACATTGCTAAACACTAAATAACCCTAAATAACCCCAACTGAGCAAGCTCAAAGCAAGCCAAAAGCAAGGCGACAGTGGCAAGGAACCAAACTCCATCAGATTGGATGGAGAAAAAACCTTGGGAAAACCCAGGCTCAGTCGGGGGCCAGTTCTCCTCTGGCTTACATTCATATTGTTTAAATATAAATATTAAATATAAATATTGTTTATGAATCAAACGGCGCCATAACATATCGCAGGCGTTGAGTCGTCTCATCACAGGCGTTGGGGCATCCGAAATCCCCGTGAGAGGCTGGACACAAAACTGGACCTGACGAACACCATTTTTCTCGGGACAAGCGTCCCGAGATAACAGCAGAAAGGCAGATGGGAAATAATTAGCATAGCTGATGTTCATAATGATTTCCGTTATAACTCACAAACTCTCCGTAACCTGAACTCTCCGCAACCCAACCATACGCGCCGACCCGTTTGTCTAAAAGGCTGTCGAGCCCCACTGGTGCGTTAAGCAGTTTCAGTGGCAAACGGTTCCGTATGGCATAACAGAGGACTAGAAGGTAAGCATTATGTGAATGCTTGACTAAAGAGATGCGTCTTTAATCTAGTTTTGAACTGTGTCAGCGAGTCAGAGGCTCGGACCGTATCGGGAAGGCCATTCCAGAGTTTTGGAGCTAAATGCGAGAACGCCCTCCCTCCTTTACTGGACTTCGATATCCTAGGAATGACCAGAAGCCTTGAATTAAGTGATCTTAAGGAACGCGGTGGATTGTAGGGCGAAAGAAGGTCCGTTAAGTACATAGGTGCTAAACCATTTAGGGCTTTATAGGTCAGTAGTAGTATTTTGTAGTTGATGCGGAACTTAATAGGTAACCAGTGTAGAGATGATAAAATCGGTGTTATATGATCATATTTTCTTGACCTAGTAAGAACTCTAGCAGCTGCATTTTGTACTAACTGTAGCTTGTTTATTGAGGATGCAGGACAACCGGCTAATAAAGCATTACAGTAATCTAGTCTTGAGGTCATGAATGCATGAACTAATTTTTCAGCATCAGAAACAGAAACTTTAGCTTTGAGACGTAAATAACTATGGCGGCCTACGAGTGAACGGATTTTCGACTTTTTTTTATTAAAATTAAAAAAATTTGGAGTGTTTTTGTATCACCTTTTTTATTGAGAATGAGGAGTCACGTGCCTATTTGGGCGGGGTCTGAGCCGGTCGGCCATGATGGTAGGACACGCTATCGGTTACCAGGGGCAACACCTTTAGAACCCATAGACGCGACTAAACATTCCAGAGCTCTTAAATTTTCGCGCATTTATTATTTTGGCAGGACAGAGACAGATCTAAGAATACGAGAAAAAAAGGAAAAAAGTAAAGCAATGCTAAAAGATAAGACGAAAGAAAAGGGACCTTACAGGAACAAACTCACACAAAGTGCAAAACAGCTGTATTTGGAGAAGCAGCATCAATATATTTGTTCTTTTGCACTAATAACAGTATTATTATTTTGTTATTATTACTTATGTTGTCCATGAAACTTATGTTGTCCAAATAGCCTATATATTTCAGTTCTCAATAAATATTGTTAAGCCATATCAAGTTGTTTCAAACATTTATTTCAATGAAATAAAAAAGTAATGAACAAGGCACTCAAACAACACTTTTGCATATGTTCGTTAAGGCACAGCAAACAGTGAAAATATATTAAAGGCATCAGCAAACCCAGCAATCCCCGTCGTCTCCTCGTCAGATCAGACTCTCTCTGCTGTGTCCATTTCAGTAACCCCAAAAACTGTATTCCATTATTCCTATGTTTTCCAAATGTATCGTGTGAGTTACTGGAGGAGTTTTTAACGCAGCAGTTACTTCCAGGCATGGTTAAACAGTGCGGTATAGCGAGAAACTCCTCTACTACCGAGCTAAAAACACACATAATCAATACTGTTTTGCCGTGGGAATCCTACCAACATGGCGGAAAGGGGAGGGGCACTGTAAAATGACGTCAACTCCTCATTCTCAATAGCCGACGCCCACGTTAATCTTAAAAGGCCAACATGCCTCACTAGTCGGGGTTCCCTTTAATTTTTTCCAAAAGTGTAGTGTAGTGTAGCAATAAAGAGATACTCAACCCAAAACTGAAAATGTTATCATTTGCACACCCTTATGCCATTTCAGCTTTATATGACTTTCTTCAGATGAAGTCCAAGATTTTTCGATAAATAATCTGTCTCTATAAGTCTATACAAGTGTACTGGACCTCAAAGATGATTCTTCAGAAACCACACAAAGGAAACACAGCGGTTATCCATTCGACCCCAGTTGATAAATTAAAGTCTTCTGAAGCAAAACGATAGGTGTTGATGAGAGAAACTTTATAAACAATAAACCATAACAGCATCTATAAACCAACTGTAAACTTGTGAGGAGATCTCTTTAACAAACACTTCAACAAAGTGTTCAATACGTTTATTCTCAGTCTCTCCTGAAAAGACTGTTTACAGTGTATTTGTGGAAAATAATTCACCTTAGTCGTGTTTTGTGATCTGGTGAAAGTAAGATGATCTTTGTCTGTTTGTCTCGTTCTAGACTAAAGGACTGTGGCATTACAGATGTTTCTGCTTTAACTCAGTCTTTGACGAACTCAAATGCACTGCAGTTTTTAAAAGAGCTTGATCTGAGAGACAATAAGATCAGAGACTCAAAGCAGCTCAGAGACGTGTTACGAGACTCAAACTGTAAAGGTGAGTAAACATCAGATGTTAAAGATACTTTCTTTATCTCTGACAGTCTTTCAACATTTGTGCAAGGAAAATATCATTAAATTTTATTGAAACAATGTGGGGGAAATTTAAATTGATTGAAAACCAGTAAAGCACAAGCCCACCCCACAGCTAATTCAACATCATTGGCCAATCACAGTCTCCTGCCAAGAAAGATCAGAAAAAGTAATGGTCTCTACCATGATGTGCTACATAACTTTTAGTAAGGTAAAAAACGCTGCATTATGCAGACCAGACAAGTAGTTGGCGATGTCACTTCATAAAGAAAGAGTGTGCGCCATGCACAGAACATTTATATGCACATACCTAGACTAAACATGATATATGCATGTGCACACCGTCACTATTTTCACGTTTTTGAAGTTTACACAGAGGTAATGATATTTTTCAAAAACTTGCCCTTTGAAACCTGTTTCAAAGTTTGCGTTCTCAGGTTTCTTGTGTCATGGAAATGGACGACCAGAATTGATTCAAAGTTTTCTGTTAAAACTGTGTCGTGTAAATGGCCCTATAAATTATTTTTACAATCGAAATTAATCACCCCTGAACTTACTTAAACTGGACAATGGCTTTCTTCTAGAGCTGCTTGTTTAAATGTTGCTTTAATTTTCTTATTATGACTGTAAAGCTGTTTTGTAAAATCTCTATTGTAAAAAGCGCTGTATAAATGAAGGTGACTTGGCTTGACCAATGAAATCTCTTGAATCAGCTGGGGGGCGGGGCTTGTAATTTAGTGGTTTATGGAGGAAAAACTAAAGAACAAACAACTTTATTGAACAAGCTTTATGAATTGCATCAGTAGAAAATCATTAGAATTTGTTCAAACAAAATTAGACTGATAGTTGTACAGAGATTGTAGAACGCAGGAATAATCAGAGCAGATTCCAGCTTCAGCTCACAGCCGTCTGTCACGGGGTGTGGTTCAGGAGTGCAGGACGAAGGAGCGGGAGGAATCCAGGTTGACATCAAACACGAATTTATTTATACACACACAGGCAGGAAGGCAGGGTTACAGGCGCAAACACCAGGTAACATGAACATCGACTGACAAAGACAGACTGAATAAGATCGAACTAAATAGACAGAGGAATCAAACTAAATGGAGTGCAAACAGGTGAAAATGATGACGAACAGACGAGGAACAGGTGGCTGATGAGGGAGTGAGATCAGGAGAGGAAACAAAAGGATCCGGGGAAGCGTGGTGCAGATGACGAGACAAACAGGTGAAGACGAAGACTGTGACATCACTCCCCCCTCCCGGTAGGCGTGACCTCACGCCGTAACATCAGCGGGGAGGGGGGGTGGGCGCCCTGGAGGCTGTGGAGGACGTGGTCAGGCGCAGGCAGCCCCCCAGGGCGGAGCAGGATGAGGGCGTGGCCAGGGCGGAGCAGGATGAGGGCGTGGCCAGGATGGAGCAGGATGAGGGCGTGGCCAGGGCGGAGCAGGATGAGGGCGTGGCCAGGGCGGAGCAGGATGAGGGCGTGGCCAGGGCGGAGCAGGATGAGGGCGTGGCCAGGGCGGAGCAGGATGCGAGGACCCTTCGGGTGGCCGTGGCGGTGAGAGCCCTTCGGGAGGCCACGGTGGTGAGAGCCCTTCGGGTGGCCGTGGCGGTGAGAGCCCTTCGGGAGGCCACGGCGGTGAGAGCCCTTCGGGAGGCCACGGCGGTGAGAGCCCTTCGGGAGGCCACGGCGGTGAGAGCCCTTCGGGAGGCCACGGCGGTGAGAGCCCTTCAGGCAGCCGTGGCGGTGAGAGCCCTTCGGGAGGCCACGGCGGTGAGAGCCCTTCGGGAGGCCACGGCGGTGAGAGCCCTTCGGGAGGCCACGGCGGTGAGAGCCCTTCAGGCAGCCGTGGCGGTGAGAGCCCTTCGGGAGGCCACGGCGGTGAGAGCCCTTCGGGCGGCCACGGCGGTGAGAGCCCTTCAGGCGGCCGTGGCTGGGACACTGGGCCCCCCCCCAAAAAATATTTGGGTTGAGGCCCCGGGTGAAGGGCAGATGGGGAGTGGATGGTCTCGGGCTGGACGGTCTGGACGGTCTCGGGCTGGAGGGTCTGGACGGTCTCGGGCCGGACGGTCTGGACGGTCTCTGGCCGGACGGTCTGGCCGGTCTCTGGCTGGACGGTCTGGCCGGTCTCTGGCTGGACGGGCTGGACGGTCTCTGGCTGGACGGGCTGGACGGTCTCTGGCTGGCCGGTCTGGACGGTCTCTGGCTGGACGGTCTGGACGGTCTCTGGCTGGACGGTCTGGACGGTCTCTGGAGGGCTGGACGGAACCAGCAGTGAAGAGCACACAGACTCTGGAGGGCTGGACGGAACCAGCAGTGAAGAGCATATAGTCTCTGGAGAGCTGGACGGAACCAGCAGTGAAGAGCATACAGTCTCTGGAGGGCTGGACGGAACCAGCAGTGAAGAGCATACAGTCTCTGGTGGGCTGGACGGAACCAGCAGTGAAGAGCTTACAGTCTCTGGTGGGCTGGACGGAACCAGCAGTGAAGAGCTTACAGTCTCTGGTGGGCTGGACGGAACCAGCAGTGAAGAGCTGACAGTCTCTGGTGGGCTGGACGGAACCAGCAGTGAAGAGCTTACAGTCTCTGGTGGGCTGGACGGAACCAGCAGTGAAGAGCTTACAGTCTCTGGTGGGCTGGACGGAACCAGCAGTGACGAGCGTTCAGTCTCTGGATGGCTGGACGGAACCAGCAGCGAAGAGCATACAGTCTCTGGAGAGCTGGACGGAACCAGCAGTGACGAGCATAAAGTCTCTGGAGAGCTGGACGGAACCAGCGGTAAAGAGCATACAATCTCTGGAGAGCTGGACGGAACCAGCGGGGAAGAGCATTCAAACTCTGGAGAGCTGGACGGAACCAGCGGCGAAGAGCATTCAATCTCTGGAGAGCTGGACGGAACCAGCGGTGAAGAACATTTAGTCTCTGGAGAGCTGGACGGAACCAGCGGTGAAGGGCCTTTAGTCTCTGGAGAGCTGGACGGAACCAGCAGTGAAGGGCATTCAGTCTCTGAAGAACTGGACGGAACCAGCGGTGTAGAGCATTCAAACTCTGGAGAGCTGGACGGGACCAGCGGTGAAGAGCATTTAGTCTCTGGAGAGCTGGACGGAACCAGCGGTGAAGAGCCTTTAGTCTCTGGAGAGCTGGACGGGACCAGCGGTGAAGAGCATTTAGTCTCTGGAGAGCTGGACGGAACCAGCAGTGAGGGGAGTTCTGACTTGGGAGGGCTGACGGTGAGCGCGGGCTCGGCAGGGCTGACGGTGCGTGCAGACTCGGCAGGGCTGACGGTGAGCGCGGGCTCGGCAGGGCTGACGGTGCGCGCAGGCTCGGCAGGGCTGACAGTGAGCGCGGGCTCGGCAGGGCTGACGGTGAGCGCGGGCTCGGCAGGGCTGACGGTGAGCGCGGACTCGGCAGGGCTGACGGTGACCAGAGAAGATGAGGGTTCAGGGGTTGGAGTGGTGCTGGTGACTTCTTCCACGTAGAATGGGGATTCACAGCACACCAGCACCCACTCCACACAGGCAAGGAAGTCATCGGCTGGACCGCTCCCTGGGAGGCGTGCCCGGGTCCGCTCGCTGAGGCTGGCGATGTAGAAAACACACAGCGAGCGGTCCGGGTAGTGGGTGTGGAACGCCAACTCCAGAAAGTCCCTGGTATGGGACTCCAGGGAGCGGTCTTCCTGGTCCAAACAGAGGAGGCTCACCGCTGGAAGGTCCATCACTCTCAGTTAAATCTTGGTCAGTCGATCTGTCACGGGGTGTGGTGCAGGGGTTCAGGAGTGCAGGACGAAGGAGCGGGAGGAATCCAGGTTGACATCAAACACGAATTTATTTATACACACACAGGCAGGAAGGCAGGGTTACAGGCGCAAACACCAGGTAACATGAACATCGACTGACAAAGACAGACTGAATAAGATCGAACTAAATAGACAGAGGAATCAAACTAAATGGAGTGCAAACAGGTGAAAATGATGACGAACAGACGAGGAACAGGTGGCTGATGAGGGAGTGAGATCAGGAGAGGAAACAAAAGGATCCGGGGAAGCGTGGTGCAGATGACGAGACAAACAGGTGAAGACGAAGACTGTGACACCGTCCAGCCTCACATGATCAATGTCTCCGTCTCTTGTGTGTTTTTACTTTGACAAGCATCACATCACATTGCTTTAGGCTTTCTTTACTTTACAAACTCTAAGAAATGTGTGCGAATTTGATGTCTGTAAAACTTAATCTAAAATTCACATTCTATATTCAAACATAAACTGACAAAATCAGTTTTATATCTTTAAAATGAACAGGGATTTTGGTGAGATTTGGCGAGACCATTTAAAACCTACATCTTATGAATTCAAAATGATAATACAGAAATGCATGTATTTAATAGGAAATTTAAACTGCTTTAAAGCACGCTGCTTCCACAAATGTAAAGTTTATCATACTAGCTCTTATGTAATGTAAACAGCATTATTAGAAATATGTACACTTAAGTGATATTGAATGATTATTGTTGGTGCAGTACTCTTACAAATGTTTATTTTATTTTATTTACAGGTGAAATAGATTGAGAAGATCAAAGCTGAGATGAAGCAAGAATAAAGAAGTCTTTAGTATAAGGGCTCAATCATGATGATATTGGAATTTAACATCTCATCCATATTGAAGCAAACAAAATATCACTAATCATAACTGTCATTGCCAAATTTGCCACTCCAACGTTTCAAGTGATATGACATTGTTGTGTGCTACACGATTTCTTTATGCCTTGCTGTCATTTTCCATTTGTGGACATTTTCAGGGATGAGATTCTTTCGGAATAATAGGACTAAAATCATGACTCACGTGAATCATGTAGATTTCATGACTTTATGGGTTTATCACTGCCCTTTCATCTTAATCACGCTATGTGACATGGGATAATATTAAACCATTTGTGTGATTTTTTTTTATATTCGCAATCAGAGAGAGAGAGAGAGAGAGTGTGTGTGTGTGAGAGAGAGAGAGACAAATATTTAGTCTGTTTACACTTTAGGACTGTGATATTAATCAAATTTTATTTTTGATTCTGGCTTCCAAGGATTATAAAAAGAAGATATTTGAGGTCAAACTTTAACTATCCACGTTCCATCTAGCGCAGCTTCCTTTCCTTCACAGCGGAGAGCTTTCCTTCCTTCCTAAAACACAAACTTCACGTCAGAATCAACTCAATCTGTGATAGTTGAAACTAATACTGGCGAGAGATGCTGTTTTCAACTTCAAGGTGGCTCTTGTGTGTGTGTGTGTGTGCGTGTGTGTGTGTGTGTGTATGCCTCCCGAAACGGCCCGCAAAAGACTAGCAAATTATACATTAAGCTTTGTGTAAGTCTAAACCATCAAATAGATGATGTTAGTGTATATTATTAGTATGTAATTATTTTTAAAAACTTACATTTATATTTTGTATAGCTGATTCATTTAAGAACAAAAAATCTTGTTTTGTTAATAAAAAAAGATTGTATTGCACCTGTGTCTTCCTTGTGTTGATAATGCGCTCTACAAGTTATCCAGTATCTCATAAATCCTCCAGATTGGCCAGCTGACAAACTCCCTCCAGTTTACATAATGTTCATTTATTCTGAAATCCTCCTTGATTGAACTTATCCTAGCTGGAGCCTTGAGGTAAGTTATAATAACTGTTCATTCATTGTGCTTAACTATAATCTCTCAGTTCTCATTAAACACGTTTATGAAGGTTATGAGGCAAATATTCGCCTCATGTTTCTCCTCGGGACAGCTGGTGGTCAAACTGAGATCAGTCTTCAGACTGAAGTTACCACTGTAAGTCTCAGTTTAAATGGAAAGTTGGTTGTTATACTAAATGATAGTAATAACAAAGTGAAAATAGATTGGGAGCCGCTTAGTTCTCTTATGCCTCGCGCCGGCCCTGCTTCTTGGTGAGCAAGATTGTCGGATTGCAAGTTCAACTTTAAATATAGCTGCAAGGAGCAATTACCGGGGCCAAGCACAATCAGACGACAAAACATGCCAACATGTGTCAGATCAACTGCAGCAAATAGCAATTGAAGACATTTAAAGATGAATTTAGGCAAAATGGCTGAAAAATCACATACAATTAACTAAAAATGTGATTAAATGGATTATCACTTTCAACCAATAGGTGGCGTAGTTACAAAATCGACCTTTTACAACCTTCAGACCAGTTGCATTAAAATACGTAGATTTATTAAAAAGCTATAAGCATTATTAGAAATTTTGTTATAACTTTGACCAAAAGGTGGTGCTGTCTTGATATTCTGAGTACCTTCAGGGGATGGTGCTGATGGCACAAACTGAGTTTCGTAACAATTCGTTCATGCGTTTAAAAATACAGCTTTTTATCACATAATTCAAAATGGCCGACAGCCAAAATGGCCGATCTGGGAAAATTGGATATCAGTCGATTCGGCATGACTCCCTGAATCTAACAAGACCATGTTTATGATTTTTGGTGAATGCAATCAGTGAATGAGGTACAGGTGAATGTGATCAGTGATGATGAGTCCGGGCAGTGAGTTCTGGGAACTGTAGTTTGTGAGTGATAATAGTCTTATCTGGAGTGCCCTCTGCTGGCTCAAAAGGGCACTCCAGCTGGTGACCGTTACAGACAGAGTAAATAATAATAATTCATTACATTTATATAGCGATTTTGTCAGCACTCAAAGCGCTTTACATAGAGAGGGTAATCTCCTCAACCACCAGCAGTATGCAGCATCCCCTTGGATGATGCGACGGCAGCCATATTGTGCCATAAAACACAAATGAGGTTCAAGTGTTTCAAAACTTGTATGGTGATACAGACAGAGAAGCCTGTGTGACGGGCGACACAAGGGCAGTAAGGGGAGTTCCTTAAAAATTATAATTAATAGTATTGCATCGTCAAAATTCCGACTACGCCACCCTGGGAATTTCACCCAGAGACGAACACGTTGCAGCCACTAGCTTAATTGTGCCACATGGTATGCGACACACTCGACGTCCGCGCACCCGCACACACCCCACTCGATCCAAGTGCTCTCTAGCTCTTACCTGCTGACAATATTGTAGTGCACTTGACACGCCTGGTAATTCAGTAACTGCAGGTAGGTCAAAGAGAGAGGTGCCATGCTGCCCGAAAAGCTCCTTATAACACCGGCCAAGAATGTTCATCCCCAGTACCCCAGGAACATCCACACTCATGCCACCAGGAGGATCCCGGACAACCAGGACACCGCATCCAACGACCAGCTTGCCACAAATTTCCACGTCTAGCTCTAAATATCCTATGTACGGGATGGTAAGCCCATTGGCTGCTCGAAGCTGTAACCACTGACAATTTTGAAGACGATCCTGACCCCATGGCTCAAAATGTCGTCGAAAACAACTTTCAGTGATCGTCGTCACCATAGAACCAGTATCCACCAAGCAGGGCACCAAAACACCCCCCATTTGGGTAACCACCTGTGGACAAGAAGAGATTAAATGGGGAGCTGAGCTACGTACACCTATCTTGCTTGAGTCAATTTCCTCCCCACCCAGGCAGTGACTCTGTGGCCTGGGGGGAACTAGTTTTCCGACGGTCTGGAGACCCGTGGCTGTCTATTCTCAGCTGTAGGGGGGTTTGGGAAACTTCGTTGCCCATCACACTCGCGAGCAAAATGGCCCGGTCGTTGACACCGCCTACATATAACTGGGCCAGAACGAGGGGAACGACTACGCACATGTGGCAGTTGGAAACGAGCGAAGGTCTGCGTAAGCTGATTCAACTGCTGCTGTTGCTGCCGAAGCATTTCCCTCAATTCACCCAACTCTGACTGCTGAGGCGATACAGCAGTTTCAACTGGTGCCCCTCCGCGTACCCCATATTGAATACCATATGCTAGCGGGACAGACTGACTACGCCCTCTCGACCCTCCAGGCATTCCCTCCTGTACCCACCTAATCGCTTCACCTCGGACCTCCAATAAGGTAGCAGTAGGCTGGCGACGAACCAACTGCTTCAGTTCTCGCCTAAGGGTGCTATTAGTGACGTGCTCGACAAATTGGTCCCGCAACAAGGTTTCTGCGTTCTGTATAACTTGTGGCGACCGGCTCTTAACCCTTTCCAAAAGGCCCATAAGCGCAAGAGAAAACTCTAGCAGAGTCTCACCCTCCTGTTGCTTCCTGGAAAAGAAGGCCTCTGCTACATAAGATTGTGAACACCCATAAAGATCCCGGAGCGCCTTAATAATCCTATCGGGGTCTCCGCGTTCTAGATCAGGGCGATACTTGATCTCTTCTCTTGCCTCTCCCTCCAAGTGGTCAAAAAGGAAGAAAGCCTGATCTGCTTTTGACATATGGCGCACCCTCATACACGCCTGTGCCTCCTCAACCCATTCGTCAATATCCAAACCCGATTTGCCATTGAATTTTGGGCAACGTCGATCTCGCGGTACAAAAACAAATCGTTCAGGCGCAACAGCGCCAAGCGGTTGAGGCGTCACAGGCGGAACAGTAGAGGTACTGGGCAAGGCTGCATCAGGACCAGGCAAATCAACTGGTGCCTGTGCCTGCTGCAACCTTACGTTATCGGCTCTCAACTGGGCTACCAAATATCTCAATTCTTGTAATTCCTCCTCCATCTTAATGTTAATTTATTTATTTTTAAAGAAGAGACTTACCACGCGAGGAAGAGGTCACCAAATGGAGCAACTCAGGCACAATGCACTGCTGTCCTGTTTCAAAAAAACAAAAAAACAGACAAAAACAAAACAAACAAAAAAAAACCAATGTCTCTGACGCAAAGTTATGGTGACCCTGCCGACTACGCCAAAATGTGGCGGGCGACACAAGGGCAGTAAGGGGAGTTCCTTAAAAATTATAATTAATAGTATTGCATCATCAAAATTCCGACTACGCCACCCTGGGAATTTCACCCAGAGAATTTAAACTAGCCCCTACAAAAAGGCATACACAAGTTCGTATCACCCAAAGAGTCAGAGACATGAGTTGTCGTACAAAAAGATCAGTTTTATTGACAATTCTTAAAAAAAGAGCAGTATAAAAAGGATATAGGACACTTTGTCCAAATTCAATGAACCCCTAGAGGTTTAGCAGCAGGTCTAGACAAGGACAAGAGACACAGAGGCAGAGAGTCGTAGCGTACCACCGACAAATGCAGAACCACTGCACTGTGCTCACACACACACACACACACACACACTCAGGGATGTTAATTCCAAGCACTGCACACAGTGTGAGAAAGATACCGTCACCCAAATAAAAAATCCTCTGCCCCCGGTACTCAGGCCCTGTTAACACACACAAAGGGTATACGTCAGATTCAGAAAATAATAATAAAAAACACTTTGATGGCTGGAAAGGTTATTAACACCTAAATCAAGAAACCAAAATAATTACAATTAGTGAATTGAATTAAACAGTTAGTTGAAACTAAATCCAAATGTCAACAGTAGCAAAATGTATAAAGAAATAATTAAAGAAAATAAACCAAACTTCAGTCAAAATTATTAATCAAAAAAAACAATTCAGGCAGGTGGGAGCAAAATACCCCACGCCAAAGAAATAAGCTATTATTTCAAAATAATTGAAACATAGAAAACTCAACTTTGGAAGCAAAAATCAAATGAAGAAAACAATTAGGAAAATAAATTAGATCAAGAGAGGAACAAGGATTACAGTCCAAAAGCAAAATCAAATACAAATGAGAAAACAATAAGAAACATCCAAATGAATTAAATTGAGAGAGGAGCAGGAATTAAGGCTCAAATTCTAACACCAATCTCTGCAGCTAATATCAATTCAAAAGAAAATGGAAACTTTGTGAAAGCAAACAGAAACTAAAGAAAATATCAACTTAAGTCCAAAATACGATGGAATCAGATGACAGTTGATATAGTCGACACAGGATTAGGACATAATTGAAACAGGACAGCACTGCGGCCATAAATGAACACGGAGCCCCCAACTTGAATGTGGTTACAGTCCTTTACGGAGCTATAACAGGGCCCTATAAACAACAAGAGTGTTACTCTGCTAGATAAATTCTCCAACTGAATGCATGCGCAAAACTACTACGTACCGATCATCGGGGAGAAGGAAACGTAGCTTTCTCTGGAGAATAACTCAGGTTCTCACCACGGGCAGGGGCGTCGCAACCGTGGGGGATGTGGGTGTTTTAACACCCACACTTTTCTCGGTGAGAGTGTTCAACACCCGCACTTTTTCTGCCGTTTTTCCGCAGTTTTACACAAACGCCTTCCTACAGTCGCTCCTCCGTTTCTCTGGCGCTCAGTGTGTGTGTGTGCGCTCGCTGCGGCTGTCTCCTCTCAAACATGACACCGGCTTTGAGTGTGTCCGGCTGATGATTGGCTGTTCTGCCTTAAGTCCCGCCTCTCTTGATGTGTTGTATCGGTCAGCTCGTGCTGAGGAGGCGGGAACTTATGGTTACATCTCCCTTTTCCAGGTACTTTGAATGAGTGTTTATGCTTTCGAGGTTTTTAAATAAGCTTGATATGTGTTTGGGAAGATGTTATGTTTATGTTTTATTGACATGTCCAGTGTTTTCATTATTATATTTCATATTTTTGGAAAAACAGTACAAGACTTGCGTTAGGCATTCTGTTTGTAATGCTGCGTGATTTGAAAAAAAAAAAAAAAAATGCGCTCTTTGCTCACACGATCAGCATGGTGTTCTGTGTTTTCTCCTAAATAAAAGCTCAAGGGTTTATTTCTTACAAGTGAAGAAATTAGGACAAAAGTATTGTAATTTTGAAAGCGTAATATAGAATATAATGACAGACTATGTCATAATATAAAGATGTTTGAGCCCTCTTTAGGTAAGCAACAAGTCAATGCTTTTTCGTTGTTCAATGTGCACAGGCCTGGGTCGAATCCAGTTGAAGCTCTTAATTTTGAGCTCTCAATGTGCTCCAGATTGATGCATTTAACCTTAAAATGTACCAAATTTTCTTGCGGGGGAGCATGCCCCCGAACCCCCCTAGAGGGACAGGGGTCTACGTAACATGCCCAAATTTAAATGACACATCCATCCCCCACACTTTTCCAAAGCTTGCTACGCCTCTGACCACAGAGACAGGGTATTCATTAGGACACATCCTTAAATACAAACTAGCACTTTAAAAACACGCATTTCAAAAGAGGACGATTAGCGAGAGATCAGCGAACTCTTCCTACCACCTCCAGCGTCCACATCCAATACACGCAGTACATGTAAACAATGATGAACAGTAACGAGCTGGTGCTGCAGAGGACAGCAGCACGCTCTCCAAAGAAAACAGTGTTAAAAGGGCACATTAAAAGAACACACTTCTCGTGACTACACTTCAGGAGCTAAAAAAAAAGAACAGCAGTGCATACTCCTTACCGGTTCGGGTGCTCACATCCGGTTTCAAGGAGGCAGTGATGAGAGCGCGTTAACGACGCAAGTCGAACGTGACGCCTGACGAGTGAGAACTACGTGACTGTTTTAAAGCCCAAGCGCACCTATGATAGGCTAGACTGGCCATCAATAATAATGAAAAATTAAGACGGAAACGCCCTTCCTGCCACACCTGCATTTAATTTCAAAGTCAGCAATGTTGTCAGGATTTCTAAAGTGAGAGGACCGTTCGTCAAAGGTTGTGAACAGAACTACATGGAAGAATTTTTTACCATAAAATGTGTATTCTAGACCATGTGTATTCTAGATCAACCACCAGTCTACAGACTGTCGGTTTATGACGATGATGTCATTGAGGGTGTTTTTTTTTTTTATGAAAAAGTGTTGCAAAAAATAATTGTAAGTAAAAACAAACCTTTTAATGGTAATAAATGGTACTGGAATTCAACACATACTTTGCCATACTTTTTCAAATTATGATCAAAACCTTGTCTAATCTTGACAAAACACATTATCAGAAAGGTCTGAGTCTCAAGGTTCCATATTTTGTAACAGAAGTGATATTTGGACAGAAATATATTAATTTGCTACAGCAGAATGCATACAATTAAATTCAATGGAATTTATGTCATTTTTGGTATTAAGCCTAAACAAAATCTCATGAGAACTTCAATTTTTGTGATATCAACTTCAAATTTGGATCACAACTTTGTTAGATATATGGCTTTGATTTTATAGTAATTTTATAGGAAAAAATATTTTGTAAAATATATATTTTATATAAAAGAAAAAAATATTTTGTAAAGTATATTTGATTTAATGTACATTTAAAACTTCCATAACCTTTTCATACTTTTATTTTTTGAAGTGTTTTTACTTCAGCAATAATCTGCTGAGTGTTTTCTTTAAAACAAGAAGTTTTTTCATAGCACCAAGTAACATCATTTTGTAAAGTTAAGGCTCTTACAGTGGAGTAATATGCTTAGCTTGCAAAATTTCACCAAAAACAGTTCACATGGCTGGGGTGATTTATTTGTTTCATGTTAGAAGAAGTGTTAGACATCCATGTTAGAAGAAGTGTTGTGACAAGTGCTGTTGATTGACGCTGTGAAATCTAGTGGATTTTTTGGCATACTACACCTCAACCAGATGATAGATGGCTCAATCAGTTTTAGCGCTCAGCTTTTTGTGTTCAAAATGTTCAAAGGTTTATATAAAGAGCAGGTACATGTATCAGTTGTCCAAATCGTGCTTTGTCTTATCCTGAATCACTGTGGTACACCTATAATAAGCGTTTATATTCGGACTATTTTATACTGGTTCTGGTCTTACCGCTGCGGAGTAGCACAGGACCTGCGTGACTCGTCATTCATGTTTGGTTCAATATTAAATTATACTCTAACTTAACGTTACCTTTGGCTCGTGGAGAGAATAATATTCGTTTGAACTTTTTTCATTTCACGTGAACACACACCAGAATTCTTGCAGAGTCGATTGATCTATTTCGCTGACTCAAATCTTTAAATGTTTATGGGTAAAATGACAGCAGTGTAATTCACACAGTTCACCACAGGAGGGCGTCCAGATAAAAACAAATGTTCGTCTTAACCCTAAAACCGTATTCTGGACAAATCAAAATAGTTTTGATTTATTTTTAAAAAATACTTCCCTTGATCTGAGCGTTACAAGACTTGGCTGCTTTTCCTAAGTTTGCCTCCTGAACACACACGATATTTTTTTTTTTTGTTGACTCAATTCTACAATGTTAAGAGGGTGGGAAAAAAAACTTCTTAATCTTGTATTTGGGTCAAAAATGGGCACCCATAGAAATAAATGGGGAAAAACTGTAATTTAGAGCATTCTAAAATAAGCCAAAATAAGACACCGGGTGACAGCAAAGTCACTTCATCTTTAGGTTTTACATTTGCCAACAAATACTACATCGTGGATTAAAGTCCATATTTTGTTACATTCAACACAAAATAACTTAAAATAACATTAAAATGTTCTCGCTGCATATTTTATTCTGTTGCGCTTATATTTTTTCCTGTCATTAAAACGTCTGATTCAACGGGGCTTTAAAAGAATAATTCTTAATCAAGCTAGTTTTCCTGAGTTGCTGTAGAAAAAATGTTTCAGTGGTGTAATTAATACATTTTACCACAGGAGGGCGTTTTCAATTCAAATAAAAGGGGTCATATGTTTCATGTGGTAACGAACGATTTATTTAACACGAAATCAACTGGATGATGACAAACTTATTTCATATCATACAAATGTGATCAAACAAAGGCATCTTTATGATTTATTATCAGGAACACTGAGTTTGCAGAAAGAAAAATGAAAGACAAAACTGAAAAAAATAAAGGCAAGAATGAAAAAATAACAAGAGAACCAAAAAAAACAAAAACAAAACAGAAATAATGGAGAAAAAAAGGATGAACAGTAAAATAATAAATTAACTAAAGAGAAGAGAGAGAAAAACGAAATAGGATTAAAAAGAATAAAGTAACACAGATAAAAAAAAAAAAAACAATCCGTAAAAGTATGCTCTTACACGCATGCGCCGTGGTGCTCTCGTGAACGCGAGTCTCTGTTTACGTCTCTCTCTCGTCACACAGAAAGTGAAAGTTAGTTTTCCTGTCGCCATTTTGAGCTGGAAAAATATAATACGACACGCAAAAAACAGAGCATCAAAGTGTTTATCAACGCTTAAGAATTAATTTACTTGTAGTTTTATGATGTTAAAGCTGGAGGATTTGAGGTCCTGTATCTTGTAAAAGTTTGATCAAGGTGAGTGTTCATGTGTGACTCTCATATTAATATGAATCTCTGGAGGACATTTTACGTTGTTTGTTGTTTGTTTGATTTGATATAATAAATTCTTTAAAGGGTTTCTTTCACTCCAAGGTTTCTTTTGTGTTTGGTAATGTTTGGATTCTTCAGAAGTTTATATGTGTAAATATTAATTAGCTTATGTGTAAACATTCATAGGCCAAATCACAGCTCACAGACACACGCGTTTTAAACACCGGATCAGAGTCTGTCGATGCGGGTCGGGGTTGGTTTTCTTTCACCCGAACATGTTCAGCGTTTCCGGTGTCCGTTATTTCCATGAATTCTAAATCCAACGCCCGACGTGTGTGTGTGTGTGTGTGTGTGTGTGTGTGTGTGTGTGTGTGTGTGTGTGTGTGTGTGTGTGTGTGTGCGTGTGCGTTTGAGAGTGTGTAAAGGCCCAATGGGCGTGAGTTAACGAAGTTACACGATCCCTTTTCTCACACACTCCAGATATGTTCAGATGAATTATGAAGGTTGTTTAATTTAATAATTTAATATTGTGTGTGAATGTTTGTTCATCAGAGTCAGTGGAGGAGATCAAACTCAACAGATTCTCCTGATCTTCATCATGGCTGATTCACAAGCATCCAGAGATGGAGATTTCTCTCCAGGACACAGGTACTTTCAACTAACACTGTTAAATATTGTGTCACATTATCATCACAGAAAAATATCACCCCTGATTTGACCCCCCTGCACAAGTTTACATAAAAATATATATGTTTTTGCCTATTTTTGCATGTGTTTTTGTTTTAAAATTAACATGAAATATTAAATAATAAGATCATAAAGTTTCTTCAAAGTGTTTATATTAATATATTGTTCCTCTCATAAAGAATGAACACAGTAATGTAGAGGATTAAACTGAATCTATTCTCTGTTCCAGTTCAGTCCAGCAGAAGAGCTCAAACCCAGAGTCCAGCTGTGTGTCTGTGAAGAGTGACCGCTCTATGGATCATCCACTAGCGTTTAAGAGTGGAGACAAACGGCCTGATCTCAGGTATATCATTTATATAAAAGATGTGCTTATAGTGACACTTCTGAATTAGACTCATAATTGATCTCAGTCAGTCTAACACTAGCAATGACATCAAGTAAATGTAAGCTGAGGTTTTCTCCACCTTTATATAATGGAGTCGGTGTAAAATTGAGCAGATGTTAGTAAGCGCTGGTTCAGATTTGTTGAGAGCTTCACAGTGTCTGGTCAGAACAGTGATGTTTCACAGCAAGATACCGTTACTAGAGTACAGTAAAGCCAAGTTCACACTACAGGATTTTAAGCTCGATTTATGCCGATTATGGTACGTTTTATCGCTGGTTTTTCACGTTTTTTTTTTATGACAAAACGTGGTTTGTAAACAAGATAGAGTCGTTGGGTGAGTTGTTGTCAACTCGTTATTTATTTGATTATTTTCATGATTCAGACCGTACCATAATACTGAAACAGCTCTCGTTGAGTCACAAATGATCTGTTCTTATCATCTGATGGTGGTTGTATCTCTATGTAGTGCGTTGTCAACTCGTGTAGTGAGTTACCTCCTGTTGTGGATCAATCACGTTGTGTTGTGTGGTGTGAACAGCTAAACAACTTGAACACTCCTGATTTCACTGAGAGCAAGTCATGTAGTGTGAACCGCACTGTTCAGCCCGACGTTTTAAAATCATGTAGTGTGAACTAGACTTAAGCTGGTTTATCTTTAAAGCTCAGCAACACATCGGTCTCTTTAGTCGCTGAGTCTTCGTCCTCCATTGGGCCGTTCACAAGAGTCATGTGATCGCGGTTGATGTTAAGTTCATCTTGTTTTGAATTCATCATTTCTACTTTTACTTTTTTTTTTCAGTTACTTTGATTGATATTTAATCATGCTTAACACTTGCAAACCAGTAAGTTAATTCCTCAAAATAAATATAATCAAAGATTGACAGTGCAAAACACACTGAGTTACAGACGCTAAAGCAAAAGTGTTACAACACTCCCTGGTGTTTCCTAAAGGTGCACAACATTTATAAGTCTGTCTGCTTATTATTTTACTTGGTTTTGAAACCAGTTCAGTCCAGCAGAAGAGAGTGCTGTGTGTCTGTGAAGAGTGACTGGTCTATGGAGAATCCAAAAAACTTTAAAGGGTTAGTTCACCCAAAAATGAAAATGATTACTCACCCCCATGCTGTTCCAACCCCGTAAGACCTTCGTTCATCTTCGGAACACAAATAAAGATATTTTTGATTGAATCTGAGAGCTGGATCAGTCCTAGATAGACTGCCTAAGGGACTGGCTCTTGACGGCCCATACAGTCATTAAAGAAAAGGTTTAAATATTCCATGTGCCTACAGCGGCTCAATTATAAGTTTATCAAGTGACGAGACTACTTTTTGTGCGAAAAAAACATAAATAACGACTTTATTCCACTACTCCATTACTTCCTTATGGGCGCATGCGCGAGAACTGAGACGAGGACGTTCTCATTCGTCTACTTTTTGTTACCGGCTGCTCACCGCTTAGGAGTTTTACCGCCACCTACCGTATAAGATGATGATCCATATATATATAAGGCGCTCCGGATTATAAGGAACACTGTCGTTTTTTGAGAAGATTAAAGGCTTTTAAGTGCACAGCGCGCATCTTCCTCTGCTTGTAAACAGAAAGTTTTGCGCTTCCAGCTATATCAGGACATCATCTTATACGGTAGGGGGCGGTAATACTCCTAAGCGATGAGCAGCCGGTAACAAGAAGTAGTCGAAGGAGAACGTCCTCGTCTCAGTTCTCGCGCATGCGCCCATAAGGAAGTAATAGAATAGTGGAATAAAGTCGTTATTTATGTTTTTTTCGCACAAAAAGTATTCTCGTCGCTTGATAAACTTATAATTGAGCCGCTGTAGGCACATGGAATATTTAAACCTTTTCTTTAATGACTGTATGGGCCGTCAAGAGCCAGTCCCTTAGGCAGTCTATCTAGGACTGATCCAGCTCTCAGATTTAATCAAAAATATCTTTATTTGTGTTCCGAAGATGAACGAAAGTCCTACGGGGTTGGAACAGCATGGGGGTGAGTAATTAATGACTTAATTTTCATTTTTGGGTGAACTAACCCTTTAACAGTAATATAATATTCTGATATAAGATATAAAGTGACCAGACACAATATATGTGATGAAGGATATAATGTATTTTATAATTAACACACTATAAATATAATAAAGAAGCAGAAACAGATAGTAGCAGTAAAGTAAGATATTTTAATAAGTTGAAGAAACAGTTTATGATTGACACACGCACATACACACGCACATACATACACACGAACGAACAGACACACACACACACACACACACACACTCACTCTCTCTTTTCTCTCTCTCTCTCTCTCTCTCTCTCTCACACACACACACACACACTTTCACACACAGAGAACGCAGCCACCGAATCCACCGAACGCAGCCACCTGTAGCCTAATAAAAATTGAGAAGAAGCTTTTCAACGTGTTTGCATCAGTAACGTTAATTTCTAAAAATTATATTCGGACAACATTAAGCCTATACCTTTTTTATTGTAGGCCTATGTGGATGTAGGAGGGGAAAATGTCGAGACTAAAGCCCTATTCAGATTAACTTTACAAGGGTAGATGGGGTAAGTTAATGTAATTTTACCACAGGACTTCTGTAATATCAATAGCCAAATCGCATGTGGTAAGATATAGGTTATCAATAAAACCTGAAGTTGGAGAGGTAACTCAATTTGAGCATCGCTGTCATGCGTGTATATTAGCTACGTTGCTTCCTAATGTGCGCAAACACAAATAACCTATACAACAGGGCAGTTGAATGCTTATCTGACAACCTAGAAGCTCTTGTAATTATTACTTTAACAGTTACCCCACCTCTCCATGCCGGGTGAACACCGGCTGATGCAGTAAACAGCATTTCACAACGATTTCAGTACAGTAATAGCAAATATCCTTGCTGCTTCTCGATTATCTGGTAATATTCAATTCACAAAATACAACCAATAGTACGGTAATGTTAAGACTTACTTGTGAAAAGCCCTATTTTCGGTGGTCCGGCGATTAGAACAGGAAAATGCTCCACAGTGCTCTGACATCTCATCTGCTGCAACGCAACGAGACTAGGAATACGACCGGTTCAAGATGGCGGCCGAATTTCTCGTTTTCCAGCTGCCAATAGGGTATCTAGTCTCTATATGAAATATATGGCAGCCACAATAACTGACAGATGTATTTGCTTCTATTTCATTTACCATGTGTGATATTCCAATTCTTCGTTTAAAAACCTTTATAAATGATATTGATCTATAATCTATAAAACAAGATGAGTGCCGCAGTTTAGAGAGTCCTGTCAGCTGGATTTACAGCACCTGAAATTATCAGTTTCTCCTGAAATACATGAAAGAAAGCGGCTGTTGAACTGGGAGAAGAATAGAGTAAACTTTATAGTTCCACTATGTGTCTGATTTATAAATAAAACACATCGGCAAATTACATTTGAATAGATTGTTATTGTTGCTTCCATACTAGACATCAGTGTATATTTTACAAACTCCAAATGTATTGCTTTACTAGTGCCCATGTGTATTTAAATGTCTGAAACCTAAAATAAACATTATGTGGTTGAAAACAATGCATAGGCTATTAGTTGTGGTAATGCTGAGTGCGTCCGTCTCTGGCTCAGCGCCAGCTAACCCCAACCGCAGTTTGAAGGCAGTTTGGTGACATCACTAAACATAAGTCATACTCTCAAGGGCACAGAAATAAAAATCCAATATAGGCTATGATGCCATAACGCTCAAAAGTTTAAAATGTAATTTACATTTTAAATGATTTTCGTTTAAAAAATATCTGCCAACATTTGTACTGCCAACCAATCAGCAAACAGCAGCTGCTGTGACCCCAGCATCTCCATAGGCACTGTGTTAAAAGGAAAGTTCACTTTAAAATGACAATTCTGTCATCCTTTACTCACCCTCAAGTTGTTTCAAACCTGTATGAATTTCTTTCTTCTGCTGAACACAAGGGAAGATATTTTGAAGAATGTCAGTAATCAAATAGTTAACTGGAACCAATGGTTCCATTTAACTGTTTGGTTACTGATAGTAAGTGAACTATACCTTTAACTTATGTTGTTGGTGATCCTGAGTGTAATGTAGTTATATTTTAATATAGTTAAATGGTTATGTGGGGCATAATGATGGTTAATAATTTTGCACAGTGATCTGACAATAAATGTGGCACACCCAGAGATGCACACCCAAAGTTTCTGGCTATGCTACTAACGACATTAACCAGCATAGCTTACCAAACAAAATGGATGAGAATTTTTTTTTTTAGTATGAATTATCTGCGAAATCAGTCACAAGTAAACTATTCTGCAGATATTCTGTATCATAGCAATGAAACGTCTCAACAGAAAAAATGCTGCGCTGCCAAAACGCTCTCAAGCGCTCAAAGCACGGCGTCTTAAGCAGAGCGTCTGGCGTTTACAGCTGGCTAAAAACACTTTGGTGGACACACGGCCTAATACGCTCCGTTCACACTACAAGCGGCTGGTGATGCGGTCGTTAGTGGGCTTTCCCACTACTGGTTGCTTAGTAATGTTTATGAATGACATTCAATGAGTGGAGAAGGATCACGAGCACTCCACTCTTATTGGTTGTTGCTTCCGAGAGTCGCTCTTCATTTGCATAAAGTTAAACAGATCTCAGCTTTGTCGCGTCGCCAGACACGCCCCATCCGGTCACCAACGGTTCCGCTTGTCACTGGAAATCGCCCGCTCCCCCTGAAATGAATGTTGTCGTGTCGCTTCGTCACTTGTAGTGTAAGGGTAGAGATCCACTTTTAAGACACAACAGTTGCATGGTGTCATGATGCCTTCCCACATTTTTACTTTGATGGGCATTCCTCAAGTTTACCACTATGGGCGTGGTTTTGAGCCAGCGGCCAGTCTGGAACTCCATATGCTCTACTTTTATTAGATAGTTTTAAGCTGGCT